TGTGTGTGTGTGTGTGTGTGTGTGTGTGTGTGTGTGTGTGTGTGTGTAGAGGGGTTGGGGCATGGGAAACATTGAAGTGGGAAATAGGGTAGAGGATGAGGTGGTTGGGTTTAATTGCTATGTTTGCAGTTGAGGAATTTTCAATTTTGTAACTCAAATTCCTTGCCTTTATTACTTAACAATTAGTTGCAGTGTAATAATTGCAGCCACTGCTACCTCTCTAGCTCTCTCTATATCTTACTATGTCATACTTTAGTGCTGTGCTGCTGTTACTTTGCTGATTAATTATTTTATGTGTTGCAGTGTGACATGTGGAGGGGGAAACCAAGCTGGATATACGCCTATAAATCACGTTTTGCTTGTGTGCAACAATCGTAATGCCCCTTGACGGCTGTGTATAACATTACTTGTCTACTGTGTGTATAGATAATGAACTTGAACTGTGGGACGCTGGCCACACTGGAAGCATAAATGTAGTTCTGAGAAATGAGGAGCTGATGTGGTATAATAGCATATATTAAGTTGTGTGTCTCATTCAAAAGTGATTGTTGACCTCAAGGGAAATTAATTTGATAAATGGAAATTAAATTGAAAGATATACTTCAAAAGAGATTAAAAGACACAATACATTTCATTAATTCATTGGCGATGGTAAGTGTCTTCCTCTAATTATTTGTCTCTGGCCACACAGTTAATGAGCAGCTGTGTTCATACGCATTGATTATTCTGCAGGTGTTGTATTATATTACATATTGTATATTGGGCATATATTAGCATGGAGATCTGAACTCATTGCAAGCTTGTCTGCGATAGCTTTAATTGCTGGTAGGCCACGAGAGCCACAACCGCCTCACATTTAAAGGAATACGTTGATATTTTGTGAAATACACTTCTTGCTAAGAGTTAGATAAGAAGATGGTTGTACAATAAATATGTAGCTAAAACCAGCAAAATCGTCCAAAAGCACCGCTAAAGCTCTCGAATGGAATTGATATCTTGTTTAATCCAAGCCAGTGAATACTGGACTTACAGTATATTGGGCAGGCATTGATAAGAGGACCACATTTTCAGTTCTCCTAAAACTGTAAGAAAGCAATTGTTTGATAAGCTAATGTAACATAAAGACTGAATGCTGCAAGTTGGCTTTCGAGTCTTCCTGCCATGATCAAAAATTGCTTAATGGAGCTTTAAAAGGGAAAAAATAAGGATAGATGTTTATGTTTTATTCCTAAGCTATGAACTGCAAAAGTAAAAACATACTTTGTGTGCTTCGAACATGCACCCAAACTTGGAGAGGGAGAGGAATGCTTTCTGAAACAATATCATCCTCCATTAATGTACAGAAGCTTCCAAACAACAACATCACTGGAGGGAGACAGTGAAATGGAAGCCGTTTACAGTACTGTACATTCTTGCTCCAGCACACGCACATGAATGCACACACCCACCTTTTAGTAATGCTGTGAGGATGGCAAGGTCAATGTCCTGATGACCATCCGACCCCATCCGGAAAACTGTTATCTGAGAGACAACGAGAGAAAGAGACAGACGCAGAGAGAACGAGTGAGAAAAAGGTGCATTAATTCTACACCAAGCCAAAGTGTTTGAAAGCTAACTCTATTACTTCTATTGATGTTTGATTGAATGCATCAAGGCTTATAGCATACAAAATTAAGTCACTTCTTCAGAGAGAGCGCTCTTATTTGCTGGATTAAACGTCTTCACTAAAAAATACTGAGATGCAGGAGGAGAAGAGAGATTGTATGGCTCTCATGTAATGTACTGTATCTCCTCTCCAGCCTCTCTTCCCTTCTTGTCGGGAGGGAATGAAGGGATGAGAAGGCAACCGAGGGGAACGAGAGTAAAAATATAACAAAGAGTGAGCTCAAATAAAATGTAACCGAGTAATGCTCTCCATTACCAAAGATCATTTTGCTCTTTTTTCTTTTTCCGTGTCAAACATTTTTTGGATAAGGCTTTCAGAAAAATATTTTCCACTATGGCCACTTGAAGCTTTCGTCTGTGTAGTCTGACATGTCCTTTAGCTACATTTTTCATATCCTGCATGAGATGAACTAATGGCGCGATGGATGAAAGCCAAAGTCTGCTGAGAGGGAAATCTGAGAAATGGGGCAGCTTTTCTGGATTTTTTGTTTCTTTAAAAATATAGCATGTACACCCGTGTGCATGTGTGTGGGCATACATGCTCGTATGTGTGCATGCGTGAAGGGCACCTTGTGGATGTCGTCAACGAGAAAATGCGTGTTCTGAATGCCTGATGAGCTATTCCTCTAATCCCTCCCTCCACCCATCCATCTCCTCCCACCTCCCTCTCTTCCCTGCAGTCCATCTCCCTTCCCATCTCCGCCCTCTAAATGGCTTCATTTCGTGGAGCTCTGGGAATCTGCGGGCTTTGCTGCTGCTTTCCCTTGGGCAATGTTGTGGGCTAACCTTCTTTCTCCCTCTATCTCCCTCTCTATTCACACAACCTAAATGCACAACAGTAATTCAATTTACATTGATGATTTACAGTATCTTTTACGTTAGCTCATTCATCTTTTTTCCACCACATGCTGATGACATTTTGGCTCCTCCCTGAGAGAGAAATGAGTGTGGCATCATGAAACGCAAGGGTAGATAACCTTGGGCACAAGCTAGCTTGACCAACGGCACACTACAAAAAAGTGTGCAAGAGAGTTGGAAATGTGGAAGTGGCCTCTCATCTGCATGCCAAATTACCTCAGCCTTTGGCAGTTGCACTGCCTGTTATTTAGAGGCAGTTTGGTTGATTTTTTCCCCCCACCTGCAGTCTGCAAAGGCCCGCCCCACTCTGCCTCTGATTGGCTGGTACTCGTTGCTTTCTTCACATAATTTGTTAAGCTTAATGCTGATGAACAAGATTGGTGGAACTTTCAATCACTAATAGCGGGAGCATCTAAGTGTGTGTGCGTGTATGTGTGTGTGACGGTCACTATCAGCCTGTGTAATCTCCAGGCGAAATAGGAGTGCAATGGGATGTGAAGGTATCGATTGAGGACTTCATGAGCGGGGACACCAATGAGTCGCTGGTGCAGTGTGTAATGTGTTCATGTGGTTCTTTGAGTTAAGTTATATTGTGTGTGTGTGTGTGTGTTGTTTTTGAATGATGCAGCCGGTGGCTGGATTATTATTTGCTAGAATGCATCTTTCGCCTTCACTCTAATGGATGTTAACAACACATTTAGGGAGCCATCTGATGAACACACATGCAATACTGTGATCTAACCAAGTGTGTGTGTTTAAAACAGTGTGTTTAAGACAGTGTGATTTGTTCTGTGTGTGCTCTTATGTAGTGAGTGTAAATTGATTGCAAAGCTGTGACTTTCTAACAATATCAGTGTAAGAAATAACCATCTATCATTTTTAAGGGTCTGCTCATGAGTGAGCCTAATTTCACCTAATCAGTATAGAATCCTGTCCTGGCCACTTGTTCATTATAGCCTGTAGTTATCGTTATAGCAGGTTGGAGAGTTCCCTTACAGACACACACACACACACACATACACACACACACACACATACACACGGCTTGTGGCTTCCTTCAGGACAAAAGATGGATCACAGTGTGATAGAAGAAAGATGATGATTATTAAAGACATTTGGCATTGTTTCTATTCTCCCCTCTCTCTCCAGGCTTTATCTCCACTCCCTTTCTTCCACCTATTCTCTTTCTGCCTCCCACCTACTACAAGGTGCCTGTTAACATCATCCTCCCACTGGCATGCCAACCACCCCAACTCCCCCCTCCCACATTTGCCTGCTTCCTCCTTACTGCTTCCTCCCTTTTCCTCTTCCTCAGATCACACCTCCAAGGTGACCCTGTGGATATACGCTACCTGTTATCACAAAGGCTCTACAATACAGAGGCTGAGCAACACAGCCGCTATGACAACGCAAGGTTGTGAATTTAATCTCAACGATCACACGGGATCAATAAGTGTGTGCACAAGGCAAACAGTCGGCCTCTCCCTCATCTGCTTTCACCCTTTTGTACAAGCAAAGGTGCTCTCGAGTACTTACTGTGAGCAAACAAGTTTATTGAAATGGTAGACACAGCTTCGTCGTATTTTTGTACTAATGGCATAAACTCACCCATCCATTGTTTATTACATTTTCCATGTGTTTGGTCAAAACTGTATTCTAACATATCTTAACATTCTGAATGTATTTTGGCCTCAACACCGACAATCATCACCTCAGGGGTCAACATGCAAGGGACAGGGCACTGACTCGTGTCTGTCGCACTCCATCACTCTGTTGACAGGAATAGAGGAGAGAGGAAAAGACCGGGAACGATAAGTAGAGGGAGAAAAGTGGAGGCAGGGATCAGGAAGAAAGACGTGAGGCAGCAGGAAAGAAAAAGCGTGTGTAACGCAAAGGACACAGAAGGAAAGAGATTCTGTGTTGACAAATTCAAACGGATATAAGAAATGAAAAAGGAAGAGGCAGTGCAATCTTTCTCAGTGTGACTGGGATCTGTTGGAGGATTCCCACATCTTCAGAGACGCTAAGCTACGAGCTTAGAAGAGGATCAGAAAACTGCTCTCCACGCAACAGTGAGCCAAGCTGATTGGAAAACATTCATCTTCATTTAACAGGCAAAGACCCTGCTCGTGCTGCTACATGTACATACTGTACAAGACTCCCCACACACACACACACACACACACACACACACACACATATAGTCCACAAATGTTTCCAAAGCATCCTCTGTAGTCCATACATTTACAATGGTTCGCAGTTCAGATCTGTCAAAGCTCTGCTAATGGTTTCATCTGTGTGAATTTGAGCATAACATATTTAGATGAATATTTATTACCTTCTGGAATAAACCATGAACCAACAGGGTTAAGCAGCACAGCCATAGCAGAGAAAAGAGAGACATACGTTTCTCTATTCATGACATTTTAAACTGATAACTGCCCTGCTGATAATCATCCAAGGCATTGTCTTTCTTCAAGAATATATCTCTGTTTGTGGCTGAAACTCCCTAATGTACCTCATTTTCACATGTACTCTCCACCCAAACTATTTGCTTTCCTTCTCTTCTTATGTCATTTTCTGCCCACTTTCCCCTCTCTCCCTAAATCTGTCCCTCCATCTCTCTCATGGTCCATTGAAGTCACTCTTTCCTTCTCCTCATCATCCTCCCACTCGTTTCTCTTGTCAGAAAGGAGGAGGAACATTGCGGGTGGGTGCTTCCTCCTCAATATTTAATCTGAATTAAACATATAAGGACTATTCTACACTCAATTATTCATACCAAGCAATCATCTTGCCCCCCCCCCCCCACCTGCCTCTATCAGAGGCATGTCCC